GAAGAAGAAGAAGAAGAAGAAGAAGAAGAAGAAGAAGAAGAAGAAGAAGAAGAAGAAGAAGAAGAAGAAGAAGAAAAGGAAGGAAGAAAGGAAGGAAGGAAGGAAGAACAAAAACAGGATCATTCCTTGAACAATTTTATCAATATTACAAACAGGTCTTCATTCTTTTCCCATTTTTTTATGTAGTATTCCTTCAAATTTTGATCAGCAAATAAACAATAACCTTTTTTTAGGAATAAATCAGTGTGCTTTATTTGTTAAGTATTCATATTCTTCTTCATTTCGTGTTGTTGATTTAATTCTGTCCCCTGCTTAAGCCCTAACCACCAGTAGCTGTGAATTTGATCTTGCTTGGAAATAGAACTTTGAAGATGTTATCAATTAAGTTAACATTGACTCATACTGAAGTAAAGTGGGTCCTCAGTATGTTTACTGGCAGACCTGTGAAGACAGAGGCAGCTGTTGCTTAAGCCAAGAAGCACTTGGATCTGCCAGCATCTAGGAGAGACGAGAAAGAATTCTTCCTTAGAGCTTTCAAAGAGATTTGGCTGTAATGACACCCTAAATTCAAACTCCTAGCCTCCAAGACCATGACATAATGAATTTCTGTCATTTAAGCCATCCACTATATGGCACTTTTTTATGGTAGTACAAGGAAATGAAGTGCTGCTATAACAAATACCTAAAAATGTGGATGTTTCTTTGGAATTGAAAACTGCATTAGAAGCTGGAAGAACTTTTAGGCGCTTCATAGTAAAAGCAAAAATTACCTTTAGGAGACTATTTGTACAATTATAGACATTAAGGAGGATTCTAGTTGCTTTAGAAAATACATATATATCAACATGCAGAGAATCTTGTTGGAAATGTGCACATTAAATAAGCTCCTGGTAAGACTTTAAAAGAAAATTATGGGTGTCATTTTGGACACAGGGAGAAAGATAAACCTTGTAATGAAATGGCAAAGAACTTAGCTGTATTATCTTCTAACGTTTGTGGAAATTATAACTTAATTATAAATTAAGTGATAAATTAGGATATTTATCTTAAGAGGACTCTTAAGCAAAATGTGGAAGGAAGGAATTTGCTTTTAACAAAATTCATGAGGAAAGAGATAAAATGAGGAATGGAATTTTTAGGGGGAAAAATTCTTAATTTGAAGAGTGGGGAAATCCTCTTCTTATCTATACTGTAAAAACTGAGGAAGTATACATTGGAGATAAGAACAAAGATGTGTCTGAACAACCATTTGCTAAAGAGATATGTTAATGACTTTTGGACCCAATCAGTCTTCTTAGCAGAAAGACTTCTGTCTTAAACTGAAGTGGAAAGAGAGGGAATGAAATGAAGTTAGGCAGCAAGACTCCTGGGATTCTATAGTCAGAAAATGAGTCACTAGAGCTACTCCTCTGTGAATGTTTGTTATCCTTTAAGAAAAGGAGAGAACTGTTTAAAGGGGGTATGTGATTAGGTATTATTGTCATGACATGAGTCCAGAATGAAGAAGGCTGCATAGTGGAGTGGACTTGGGGGGGAGGGATTGTAAAACAAAGAAAGAATTTTTCTTTTACTTTTCAAAGAGAAGAATGAACTGAGGCGGGGAGGGGTGGGGAGGGAGAAAAGTGCAACAATGAGTGAATGGATATCCAAAGTCTCTGAAATTTTCATTAAAATTAATAATAAAAAATGAGAAGAAAAAAAAAAGGAAACATTTGTCTGAGTGGAAATCAAAGACTGGCAGGGTTGCTGTTGTCATTGTAAGCCTTGATGGCACAGGTCCCAGGTTTGTGTCACCAACTGGGCCCAGAGAATGGAAGTGTGGGCCCAGAGAATGGAAGTGTCAGCTTCAGTGAACACCAAAGACACCAAATTCAGCCAAAGATTATTCTGAGCTCTTGAAATCTAATGCCTTGCTCAGATAGCTTGAGGCTCTGATTCTATCCTCCAAGCTCTTCAGTTTGGAACAAAATATATATGCTTAGCCTGTTCCCACCATTGTATTTTGGAAGCAGAGATACTGTATTCTATGTTTAGCAGGTACACAAATTAAGAGAGACTTTGCCCCTAGGGTAGATCATATTCACAGTGGATGTGAAGATGATGAGAATTAGAAGATGAGAATTTGTTCTAGTGACCTGGATCAACGCTACAACCACTGCAGCACTCCATAACCCTA